TGACCATGTGACTGAGGAACACTGCAAAGGTCATAGATAGATAGATAGATAGATAGATAGATAGATAGATAGATAGATAGATAGATAGATAGATAGATATAGATAGATAAATGGGTGTGGCCTACTGATGACAGCTAACGAGCTAGAAATGGATCTATTTAGGTCTCCCACCTAGCAGTGAGAGCTTGCTAGGTGTTAGAAAAGAAAAAAGCCCAGAACCGAGTAGATGAGATTCTACTGAGCTGGAGCTACAAAAAAACGTTGGCTACGTAGGGAAAACCTGGCTAGAAGAAAAACACACATAAACCCTACGAAGAAGTAAGAAAATTGATATATATATATAGATATAGATATAGATATAGATATAGATGTAGGTCTTTGGTTATTCGGGTCTTCTCCCACGTAAAATTGGAAGTGTCTTGGCGACGTTTCGACGAAGTCTCATTCGTCATCTTCAGGCTGGTGTTCTCGGCTTCGTGCTTCCAGGAGCAATGTGAGATCGCAGCTGTCTCTTCCTTTTAACTGCTAGTGGGGGTGTGAGCTGATTGGGTGGGAACTTGGCTGTGTTCTGATTGGGTGGAGGTGTGTTCTGATTGGTTAGGGGCTTGGCTGTGCTCTGATTGGATGGGGGGTTGGTTGTGCTCTGATTGGCTGGGGGGGGTGTTCTGTTTGGGTGGGGGCTTGGTTGTGCTCAGCTTAGTCTGAGTTGCAGGGGGATTTGAGCTGGTGAGCTGCGTTGTTGTTGTTTGGCTTCGTGTTTGTGGCCGTGCGAGCTCTTCATGGTGGGTGTCAGTCTGCTTCATGTATGGATTGGAGGGGTTTAAAGTGGCTAATGATGCAGCTGCAGTCTGGCTTCTGGTCCTTGGTCGTGGCTCATTATCAGTGTGGTGGTGACATCCTGTGTGGCTCTCGTGAGTGTGGGTCTGGTGTCATTCGTCGTGTTAGGGACTCGTTTGTCAATAAGGGCGGGTTTCCAAATGGCTGGTAGGCGGGAGGTATCGTCTCGTTTGTTCATGCTGTGTGGGCGTTTTTCTATCTCGATGGCTTCTCTGATTATTCTGTTGTTAAAGTGTTCAGTTTTGGCGATAGTTCTGGTCTTTTTAAAATCAATATCATGTCCTGTGGCTTTAAGGTGTCGGACCAGGGAAGAAGTTGGTTCCTCTTTTCTGACTGAGTTCTTGTGTTCTTCTATGGCGTGCACTTATTCGTCTGTTGGTTTGTCCGATGTATGTGGTGGGGCAGGCGGTGCATGGGATTTCATATACTCCTTGATTTTCTAACTCAATTTTGTCTTTGGTGAGAGGAGTGATCCCATGGGTGCTCCTTCTATTTGTTTGTATTTCTGTCCATTATAGATGAAGTATGTGTTGGATAGGCAGTGGTTGGTCAGATCTAAGATGTGCTTGGGGGGGGTTATATTTGTTTTGGATAACTGTCAAAGAAGCCTTGACAGTTATCCAAAACAAATATAACCCCCCAAGCACATCTTAGATCTGACCAACCACTGCCTATCCAACACATACTTCATCTATAATGGACAGAAATACAAACAAATAGAAGGAGCACCCATGGGATCACCCCTCTCACCTGTCATTGCCAACCTCTATATGGAATACTTTGAACCCGCCTGCCCCACCACATACATCGGACAAACCAACAGACGAATAAGTGCACGCATAGAAGAACACAAGAACTCAGTCAGAAAAGAGGAACCAACTTCTTCCCTGGTCCGACACCTTAAAGCCACAGGACATGATATTGATTTAAAAAGACCAGAACTATCGCCAAAACTGAACACTTTAACAACAGAATAATCAGAGAAGCCATCGAGATAGAAAAACGCCCACACAGCATGAACAAACGAGACGATACCTCCCGCCTACCAGCCATTTGGAAACCCGCCCTTATTGACAAACGAGTCCCTAACACGACGAATGACACCAGACCCACACTCACGAGAGCCACACAGGATGTCACCACCACACATCCACGCAGAAAGCAGACTCAAACCCACACTGATAATGAGCCACGACCAAGGACCAGAAGCCAGACCGCAGCTGCATCATTAGCCACTTTAAACCCCTCCAATCCATACATGAAGCAGACTGACACCCACCATGAAGAGCTCGCACGGCCACAAACACGAAGCCAAACAACAACAACGCAGCTCCCCAGCTCAAATCCCCCTGCAACTCAGACTAAGCTGAGCACAACCAAGCCCCCACCCAAACAGAACACACCCCCAGCCAATCAGAGCACAACCAACCCCCCATCCAATCAGAGCACAGCCAAGCCCCTAACCAATCAGAACACACCTCCACCCAATCAGAACACAGCCAAGTTCCCACCCAATCAGCTCACACCCCCACTAGCAGTTAAAAGGAAGAGACAGCTGCGATCTCACATTGCTCCTGGAAGCACGAACCCGAGAACACCAGCCTGAAGATGACAAATGAGACTTCGTCGAAATGTCGCCAAGACACTTCCAATTTTACGTGGGAGAAGACCCGAATAACCAAAGACCTACATACAAACACCCGCGAAAACCTGAGAAAACATCCATCCATCCATCCATCCATCCATCCATCCATCCATCCATCCATCCATCTATCTATCTATCTATCTATCTATCTATCTATATATATATATATATATAGGTCTAATATTATTTTATTTTATTTTATTTATTCATTCTTTCACTATTATAACTTTGTAAATTGGCGATCTGGATTTTGCAGATGATATCGCCTTGAGAAAACTGAGACAAAACTACAATAAGTAACCACTATCTCAGATGAAGAAGCAACCAAATGGGCCTCAAGATAAGTGCTAAGAAATCAAAGAACATGTATCTGAGTCACACAGACCCCTCCAATAGATACGGGGAATCATACTTAGATCACAGCAACTTGAGGAAGTATAAAGGTTTACACATTTGGGTAGTGTAATCACTCCTAATGAAGATGCAGAGATGGACAAAGAAAGATCACATTGGAAAAGCAACAACTTTTTCCACAGGATTAAAAAAATCTGGCCATTGTCTATATCATTGAAACTTAAATTCTGTATGCTCACCGCTATAGCGATCCCAACAGCCATTAATGCCAGACGGGAAGGCATCAGTGACTATTAACCACAGACCTGATGTCTTCCAACAAAGATGCCTTCATAAAATCCTAAAGATTTACTATTTTGACCATATTACTAAAAATTACATAATATTGTTGTATGCAGAAGATTCCAAATTGCAGGTTATATTCTCCATATGGAGAACAATTGAATCCCCAAGGTGGCAATGAGATAGACACCCCCTCTCCCGATAGCAATAGCACTTAAGACATATATACCGCTTCATAGTGTTTTTACAGCCCTCTCTAAGTGGTTTACAAAGTCAGCATATTGCCCCCAACAATCTGGGTCCTCATTTTACCTACCTCAGAAGGATGGAAGGCTGAGTCAACCTTCAGCCGGTGAGATTTGAACTACCAAACTGCAGCTAGCAGTCAGCTGAAGTATCCTGCTGTACTGCACTCTAACCACTGCACCACCTCGGCTCTAATGCCAAACATTCAAAAGGATGTCCTCAAAATACATGGCAAAGAATGTTCATGGAAGACTTAAAAGATTATAAACATCACATGAGATGCTAAAGTATTCACCCAAAATAAAAAATGTTGGAGATCCCTTGCTGCCTGATATGCTATGTAGCATGGAAGAATTAATACTAATGCGAACGCAGTTTCAAACAAATGATCGCTGAACAAATGGTCAATAAATGCACAGGTAAGCCTCAACTTACAACCATTCATTTAGTGATTATTCAAAGTAATTTATGACTGTTTTTCACACTTACAACCATTGCAGCATACCCATGGTCACATAATCAAAATTTGGGCAATTGGAAACTGGCATATATTTATTACAATTGCACTATCCTGCATCATATGATCATCATTTAACGTTCTTAGCCAGCTTCTAATAAGCAAAATCTATGGGGGAATATAGATTCGCTTATTGACCACGATTCATTTAATTGCAATGATTCACTTAACAATAGTAGCAAAAAGATCATAAAACAAGGCACAACTTGCTTAAAAACTGCATCGCTTAGCAATGGAAATTTTGGGCTCTGTTTTGATTGTACGTTCCTGTAATGATATATGGGAATGACCTTAGCACACAAGATAGAATACAGCCCACAGATGCATAGTAGACAAAGCAAGAGGCTAAGGAAGGACCTTCTTTGTTACCATGCTGTAAAAGTGATGGTGAGAGAATTGTACTTTCAGACTTGCAGGTTTCTGTGAATATTTAGCATAAAGTAGATCTAGTTTATCTGGCGGTCTTTCCTGTCTGTGTACTTGTTAAGGCTGACATCAATCTTGGAGCCTGATTATATAATTCTCTTGCAATAACCTTTAGTTTGATAATTTAGGGAATGTCCCACTTGCTCCATCATTATGCAGCTATGAGAGGGCTCCCCAACCCCTGAATTGCTACCAGTCCACAGCCTGTTAGGAACCAAGCCACTCAAGTGGTGGGCGGGCACGCAAAGCTTCATTTGCACATGTGCATAAAGTAGATTGCATATGCAAAATCATCCTTTTCCCCCACCGCTGTGTTGATCTGTGGAGCAAGAAAGGTGGAAGGCTGCTGAGCTGTGAGTTATGGTCGTCTCACTGATCATTCCCTAGGCAGCAACTCTTTCTCTAATCTTTCCACATACCATTACAGTAAGTGACAATTATTTAACTGTAAAATACAGCAGATTATAACATGATCTGTAGTTAACTGTGTTTTATTTAAAAACTTTCTCTAAAAATTGTCACATGGATTTTTAAGCAGATACTTTAAAAATTCACAGTGAATAAAAGACCCAATTATACAAGTAATACAATAGCTTGTGACAGAGACACAATTAAGTATAATTTAATTTACCTTGACATGATTACCAATTCATAAGCATAAATGATTAAATTTGAAATTGTAACATTTCTCACCTCCAATTGTACTTTCTTGGAACTCATGAAACTGGCCTTTAACAAAGCGAAGCACCAAACTTGATTTGCCAACTGCAGATTCACCAAGAAGAACTAACTTGAACTGACATATTTTATTCCCAGCATTGGGCCCATTGGGTCTAGTTGCTCCTCGGTTGGCCATGTCCAAATTAAAAAGGAGTCCCTTGTTTCAGATTCTTAAAAAAAAAGATTCCAGGATGCGAACCTCAATGTCCCTTCCCCTCAAGGCAGCCTGTAATATAAAATAGCATTCACATTTTAGCAAAGATCATAGGCAGAGTTATACTAACAAGTATAGTAAACTTTATAGGGTGCCTTGGTTTTCAAAACACTATATTTGATAGCAGGTTAACCAGCAAGGAGTTACAGCAAATCAAATACAGTATATATAACTGTGATGGCGAACCTATGGCATGCGTGCCACAGGTGACATACGTAGTCATATCAGTGGGCATGCGAGCTCAGCTCCAGTGGGCATGCACGTGCCAGCCAGCTGATTTTCGGGCCTTCTGGGCCCATCAGAAGTAGGGAAACAGGTTGTTTCCTGCCTCTGGAGGGCCTGGGGGTGGGTGGAGAAGGCCCGTTTTTCTCTCTCACCTGGCTCCAGAGCCTCTTTATGAGTCCGGGGAGGGCGAAAACGGCCTTCCCCACCCCTGGAGGCCCTCTGGAGGCCCGAAACGTCCCCTTTCCCAACTTCTGGTTGGACAGGAAGTGACTTTTTTTGCTGTCCCCAGCCTCCAGAGCCTCTCTAGGAGTCTTTTCACTTTCCTCAGGCTAATTCCATCAAGGTGAATTGGTTTCTCAGATAGGCTGATCCATGTCATGCAGGGCTTTGAAGGTGAAAATCAACACCTTGCTTTGGATCTAAAACAAAACGGCAGCCAGTGCAGTTTGTGGAACATCAGTCTAATATGGGCCACCCAGGGGCCCCAAGAATTGTCCACACTGCTGCATTCTGGACTAGCTGAAACTTATGGATAAGATAGCAGCAACTAGAAATCTTTACAGCCTCTCAATAAAGCAACCATTTATTGGAAGAGATTGCAGTAGCTAAACAAGGACTAGCTTTAATTTACATCTGAAAGGAGGATTGATTCACCTCTTCAAGCCAGAACTAAAGTGCTCCTATGTCTAGTTAATTCAATGCCTAAATAAGACTCCTTTTTCCTCATTATTTTGTAGCTGAGAAGAATATGAAGTGGATAACAGAATTATGAAGATAACTCCCGCTTCTCACAATCTCCTTTCATGAGTGACTATCACTAGTTTCCCTTTACATTACTCAACATCTTTGTTTTCCCATTCCTAATCATTATGCATGGTTGATACATAGTGAAATTGTTGTGAGCATCACACTAGAACACTGAACATTGTTAGAAATAGCAATTTTTAATGTATTTAGAGTGGGAAAATTAGTAAATATATTAATGGAGAATAATCATATTAACTATACATCATTTCAATTAAATGTAACCCAAGATAAAATTTAGGCTTTATCCTGACTCTCACTACCCAGTATATAATTCAAAGAACAAGGATGGATTTCAGTCCACATTCACTTTCTTCAATGTTCATTCGAATCCCTAATTTATAAAATATAACCATCTAAATAAATTACAATTTGTACAATTACATTTCTTCAGAATACCACAAGCAGCACTGGAATTTACCAATTCTCAGAAAAAGAGCCATGTTACAGCAAAACCTCAGTGCCAAGACTCTGTAATCTTGAGAATATAGAAACAAAAATAAACTGGGAAACTATGGATGCCAACCTTTTGCTTTTCACACCAACATGTGCAGTTCAACTGAACTTCCTAAGCAGCAACATTATGATTCAACAACGCAAGGTCTGTTTCTATCCATGTTATTGTCACAAATCCATGCTATCGGTAAATTGACTATAACATTATTAAATCGGAATATTCTCCCAGAGTGGTTTATTGCTGAAGAAATATTGTGGTATGACTGATGGCAGAATAGTTTTTTCTACTTTTTCCACTGCAGCTTCAAATCTGGAGACTTCTGGGAGCAGATATGGGTTATATGGAAGCATGTGGAAAGGACTACAGAAGCAAACATCTCCTTACAGCTGCATAAGTAGGTATAGTATAAGATTCTGCATAATCTATTATTAATTGCATTGTTTCAACTAATCAAAACATGCACTAACAATTAAAACTGTAACATTTATAAATGAATATAATCAATAAATAAAGCTGAAATCAAATAGGTTTTCCTCTGAGAAACCTGCTCCTCCTCTTATCGATGGATGGAAGGCTAGTTAACTGGCAAAAGTTAATTAGTCAGCTACTGAATGTCTGTGGTATGGTCCTAGGGTGTGGGTGCTAACATTTTTATCTACAGCAGGTACACATAGCATATGGCCTGTCAAGCAGTCTTGTACAACCCATTGGTATTTTTTGAAAAATTAACAAATCTACTGCTACCAAATTTTACAACCTAGTTTTAGCAGTCATCAATACCCCAAAAGACACTTTGCCAAATGCCTCCAAGCCTCACCAACCTTGTCAGTTCCAATACTACCACCAGCTGATTGGCTTGACAAATAAACGTTCCTTTGGGGCCCATAATTATTTTTAAGGTATCAATGTGCAAGCCACTACAAGCTGTGGAAGCCTAGCATAGAGTATCTGGATTCCAGTGAAGTTATGTAAGATCCAATACACTTCATTTTTTCAGCATATAACATTTTTATTCAGGCTTACATATAAGTATACTAAGACTTAATTACCTACTTAATTACAATAGACATTATATGCATTTTGTAGCTGAAAGCCAACTTTATTATAGAGGAATAATAACAGAGTGACTATCTTTCTAAATACAATGATTTACAACTTCTATCATTTTACATTATGTATGGTACTTATTTTAAACTATATCCTATTTTTAGGAAAGAGTTTTCATTTATCCCAAATTCCCATGATCATAACTTGTTACATTTATATTTCAATTTTTGCCCAGATATTTCAGGCAGTTTATATCAGATCTCTCTGTTTTATTCCTACAAAAACTATGATATCAATTGGCTTATACTTATAGCATAGCAAAAGAAAGTCACCTGGTGAGTTTCCCTGGCTGAAGGTGGACTCAAAACTTCTCCCTAGTTCTAGTTCAACATTTTAACTACTACAGGTTTTCCTCATGACCACAATTGAGCCCAGAATTTATGTTGCTAAGTGAGAAATTTGTTAAGTGAGTTTTGCCCCATTTTATTACTTTTCTTGACACATTTGTTAAGTGAATCTGGCTTCCCCATTGACTTTGCTTGTCAGATCACAAAAAATAATCACATGACTCCAAGACACTGCAATCGTCATAGATATGAACCAGTGTCAAACATCTGAATATAAATCACTTGACCATGGGATGCTGAAATGGTCATGTGAAAAATGGTCGTAACTTTTTTCAGTTCTGTTGTAACTTTGAATGGCCACTAAATGAACGGTTGTAAGTCGAGGACTACCTATATACCATGTTTTTCCCCAAAATAAGACATTCCCTGATAAAAAGCCCAATTGGGCTTTTGAGGGCATGGCAATAAGGCCAAGCGCTTATTTCAGGGTTCAAAAAAATATAAGACAGGGTCTTATTTTCAGGGAAACACGGTACCAGACTGACTCTTCATAGTCTCTTGGCAGCTATGAAAATCAAGATGTTATAATTTGAAAGTCAATCCTGCATTTCTAATGTAATTCCCTAAATTAATCTAGTTTTCATTTTGTTTTAACAAAATATGATTTTGATTTTGCTGCCTATCTTTTCCCCAGACCTCCTTCTATTCCATATAGCAAGTAAGCAAGATGATTATAATCTGGATATGCTGGCTTCCTCTCCACCAAAGGTAGTATTAATGAGGAAAAAAAATTACAGACTAACTACAGACCAATCAGCTTTACAATAACTGAGAAGATCTTGGAAAAGATAATCAAACAACAGATCTGCGAACACCTAAAAACAAACAAAGCTTTTACTAAAAGCCAATATGAATTGTCAGAAGCAAATCATGCCAAGCAAACTTTATTGTATTGATAAAGTGACTAAATTAGTGGATCAGCAAAATGCTGTGAACATAGTATACTTGGAATTTAGTAAGATATTTGACAAAGTAGACCATAATCTACTTCTTTGTAAAATAGAAAAATAGAATAGACAGCTACCATGGCTAAGCAAACACATTCAACATGGAACTGACATGGAGGGAAGCATGCAGTGGGGTACCCCAAGGTTCTGTCTTAGGCCCAGTACTCCAATATATTCATAAATGATTTAGATGAAGAGATAGAAGGGAAACTCGTCAAATTTGCAGATGACACAAGCTGTGGGGAATAGTAAACAGTTTAGAGGACAAGCTCAAGATCCAGAAGGACACTAGGCCCTATCCAACAGAATACTTTAGTGATGAGAAAATTAAGATTTTTATACTCCGGCAAGTAAAACTAAATGCACAGAGTATTGATGGTACCTGGCTCAACTCTGAGAGGGATCTAGGAGTCCCAGTGAACAATCACTTAAGTATAAGCCAGCAGTATACTGCAGCTAGCCAAAAAAGCCAATGCAATCCTAGGCTGCTTCAACAGAGGAATAGTACCAAAATCACATGAAGTATTAGCACCACTATCTACTGCTTTGGTAAAACCACATATGAATACTGCATCCAGTTCTGATCACAACACACACACAAAGATTGAGATCCTAGAAAGAGTACAGAGAAGAATTATAAAGATTATTAAGGGACTGGAGGCTATACATCTGATGAACAATTGTGTGAATTAGGCATGCCTAGTCTAACAAAGAGAAGGACTAGAGGTGAACATGATAGTAGTCTTCTACTATTTGAGTGATTATCACAGAGAGAAGGGAGTCAACCTATTATCCAAAGCACTGGAGGGCAGGAAAAGAAGTAATAGATGAAAGCAAATCAAAGAGAGAACCAACCAAGAATTAAGGAGAAATTTCCTGACAGTGAGCAAAATTAATCAGTGGAAGTTCTGGGTGCTCCATCACTGGAAGTTTTTAAGATTATGTTGAACAGCCATTTATCTGGATTGGTATCTCCTGTTTAAACAGGGAATTGGATCAAAAGACCTCTAAGATGTCTTCCAACTTATTTTCTAATTCTAATCACATATAACATGGGAATTTTAATAATGGCAAGTTTTTAAAGAGAAATTCTATAGATCCATACATCAAAAACCATATATTTTGGAAAAAGAAAGAAAAAATTGTTGCCCCCTTGGTATTAAGACTGAAAATATCTCTGGTTTAAGAACATAGATATATTATCATGATCACATTAGACCATTGTTTGGCACTAAGCCTCAAACAAAGCACCCTCAAAGATAAGATCATGGAATACTGTGGAATTTATTCCTAAGTAAACATGTATTGCAAATCCAGTTTAGCTGCTTAGTAGTCAGACAATTTACTCAGTACTTCATTGGATCATCAACTACTTCACATCCTGTTATATATTAATCAGTTCTTACTCAGCTGAACATCACCCTCTGTATCCTAGTTAAAATGAAACTGATACCATACTGCAAGTATGGATGTAACATGACTGGTTGCTTCCCCACTTACAGTAATGATCTTTTGCAATTTACAAAGAATTACATTGTTTTTTGAATCTCAGGATTTTTCTATAAAGGGAAACCATAATCCATAAATATCTGAACATAGTAGATTGTTTATTCCTGTTGTGTTAATATACATATACACTGCATAAAAGCTATCAAAATTAGTGTGGAAAGTTAACAAATCTCTTAAATTACTATCTTAGCCTTGAGAATAGACCACAAAAAGATAATTCTTAGATTTGCTATTTTTGCTTCTAAATTGGAATTAAGGCCTCTGATGATCTTCCTGTTTAAAAAAGTGTTTGACTCCTTCTTTATAAATGTTAAAAACAGGAGAAATAGAAAATAATTAAAATTGGATGTTTTACTTTCCTTTTTATAGATTTCTTAGGAAGAATATGAAGTCTTAAAGCACAAGTATTAAGAAATTAATAATATATTATTCTAATATAAATTAACTATACCCAGGAATCAGAAGACAAATGTATTTTTCTTTTTTCAGTGCAATTACAGTGTTGTCTTTTTGAATTATGAAAACACAATCTTCACCTGAAAAAAGATGATGCTTTAAGACTCACCTTTTTAAAGCAATTATTCAATGATCCCATGAGATCACACTTGTTTAAGAAAAAAAGCTATTCTAATATAGGTTGGATTTCTAATGAATAACTATAGCTATATCAGGATTATATGGAATTGTGTTTGCATATGTAAATTTCACTTGAAAATAAAGAAGCAAATTTTAAAAATTTGTAATAACAGACATCTTATAAGGTTACAAGCTCTTTAGTCTAGATACTAAATTCCTTTCACCCTTCTTCTTTAAAAGTTAAAGAAGCACATTTATACCATTATTAAAGGCATACAAAAGATTTTTTAACTCCATTGCTAGTAAGTACCACTCTCAAATATACTATGCTTATAGTTTCACTATCTTCTCCCCCAATCCTCTCACCCCAAAAGCTACTTAGGATCAATTTCATTGGAACAGAATAAGCATGAACAATATTTACTCTGCCACTATGCCCATTTTCATTCTTCATAGAAAGGAAAAATTGAGACCTCTCTCCTGTCTTTTCATATTATTTCATGTTATTTGGGATCCAGAAATAGAAGCAGGAAAAGTGACAGAAGCAAGAATATGTTGCTTTTTTTGCCTTTGTTTTATCTTGGGAAAGAATTAGATATTAATAAACTATTTAGATTATAAAACATTTATGGTAAAAATAAAAAAGCAGATTCTTAGGAAATCAAAGGAAAAATTGATCTGAAACAATACCTTATGAGACAATTTTTAAAAGCAGAATTTAAGCATTGCACTCAGATCAATTTTAATTGTTTTAGGATACGGATACTTCACAAAAAATAAAAGCTGAATGTTCGGATGTGCAGCATTTTTTGCAACTAATTTCATACAACCTGAGGATAGAACTCTTAACAAAAACGGATGATTGACACTTTAAATTGCAAAGTGTCCAAAAGCCTTATGCCTTATCAAAATAACTTTTCATGCTTATATACTATTAATCCACCATTGAGATATTGTTAAGCATTTAGGAATAATGAGACACAGGCATTAGTTAACTAATATAGCATAAGAGATATCAAATCCACACAATTACATTCTATTCCGTATTTCATGCCCTCTTCGGAAAGATGCCCTCCCTGCGTTCCAAAATTCCTTCAGACCCGCACGACATCGCCTTTCTTCGTGCATTTCTCTGACAGCCCTGCCCCAGGAATAAGAGGAAGTGGGAGAATTGGGGTCGCCATTTTGAGGGTGAAAGGGAAAATGGCTCAGTTCTCCATCTTTGCCGCATCTCCTTCCACTTCCACACCGATCTCAGGCGTCGTGGACGAAGCTCAAACCTCCCTCCCCAAAAGAGGGAGAGCGAGGGCATCGCAGACGCCTATCCATTTTGTTCGAACCACGGCCTCCTTCCCCCATTAGGTCCGGCTTTGATGTATCGTTACCTGGCTGTGACGGAAAGCCAGGAGCCTCTTCGTCAATTCCGTTCCCCCCGCGAACAGATCCCTGAGAAAAGAAAAGATGCTGCCCAACGCCCGGTTCCTGTGGCTCACGGCACAAGAGGACAAGGAAACGGGGCTCTTCCGTGCCTCACGATGAGGTAAACGCGGCCTCCAACTTCCGTCTTTCTCTCCTCCTTCTACTCCCGGATCAAAACACGAATACGTCACTTCCTCTAGCTGCGCCGCCTCCTCTTGCCACGTCACCGCAGCCCGTTCCTCATATCATTTCCGTTTTGCACAATCACGTGCCAGATGGGTCGTCGTTACAGATCGAGACCGTAAAGAAGGGCGTTTTCTGTGGAAGCAGGCGGCTCTCGCTGAGAATTGTGGGAGGGCAGAAGGCTCGTAAAGGCTGGTTACGTCTCTCCTCTTGTCAGATGTGGCCAGCTGAGCTAGTGCGGGATTTCCACAAGGAGTCATCCCATGCGACAATATTGATATTTCAGAGCTAATACCATATTTATTTATTTGATTTATATGGCCACCCAAATTATTGTAATTGATTTGTTATGAGCCGCCCAGAGTCATGTCATAATGAATTGGGCAGCATAGAAGTTTAATAAATAATAACCTCTCTGGACAATTTACAACAATCTAAACATACAAAAAAGAATTCAGTCAAAATAAAATACATATAAAGCAATACAAATGAAATTAACAAAATACATAATCAGGATCTAAAAATCCACATTCAACAAGCTAAGTGGACTCTGCTTCTTCATGCCTGGTTTCACAATCATGTTGGCCTTACCGAAGGCTATTAGGGTCATGACTAATAATGTCCTACCTGTCAATGAATACTTCAGCTTCAACCACAACAATACAGCAGCAAATAATAGATACAAACTCAAGGTAAACCACTCCAAACTCGGTTGCAGAAAATATGGCTTCAGTAACAGAGTGGTCAATGCCTGGAATGCACTACCTGACTCTGGTTTCTTCCCCAAACCCCCCAAATTTTAATCTTAGATTGGCTACTGTTGACCTCACCTCATTCCTAAGTGGTCTGTAAGGGGTGTGCATAAGTGCACCAGTGTGCCTACTGTCCCTGTCCTAATATTCCTTTTTACTCTTACTCTTTTCATGTATTCAAATTATGTTTCTACTTTTACCTGTTATCTTATATATGCTTGACAAATAAATAAATAAATAATTGATCAGTCTAATCTGGGAATTGTATGATGTTCCATAGGGTTTCTTAAAGTGTTCATATAAAATGGTTATCAATCATTGTGATCACTTAATACAAGCTCAGACTAATTGTCTACCTCAACTGATTTAGTGTATCCTTTTTGCAGATTTTGAAAGAGAATGGAATTGGTAATGGGTATTTTGGACTAGTTCCCTCAGAATTATCAAAAATAAAAGTAGGGTACGAGAAAAGGAAAGGAAGGAAGAAAGGAAGGGAAGGGAAGGGAGGCAGGGAGGCAGGAAGTAAGAAAGAAAGGAGTTGTTATTTGCTATCAATTGAGACAAAATAACACTGCTATAGCACAGAGGCATCTATGCAACTGATTTAAAATGAGAAACATTTATGAATAAATACAAACCCCCTAGAGATTTGCATATTGAGTTATACAAGTTAGCACTCACACAGATTCTATATTTTATATTATACCAAGATTGTAGTTGCTAGGATTGGTCAGGAGTAGATAGACTCAGATCCAACCAACTAATTTTCAATATATTAGCAAGGATTTTTCACACAGAAGAAGGCAAATCATAGCTTCTGCCTTTTTTTACTAGACTCTGGGAAAACTCAAGAACTACCACTATAAATACAGAATAACAGATTAAGAGAGAGACCTTGGAAGGGACCTTGGATATCATTTAGTCCAGGGATATCAAACTGGCAGCCCATGGGCCGGATGCGTCAAACGCAAGCCATACCCACCCTGGCTCTGCAAAGGCAAAAAACATCATGATATGTCATGAGACACAATCGAGTTTGACACCTGTGAATTAGTCTCACCCCTATATCAGGAGACCCTATACCATATCCATACCATATTAGACAAATAACTGTCCAATCTCTTCCTGAAAGTCTCCAGTGTTGGGGCACCCACAACTTCTGAAGGCAAGCCATTCCACTGGTTGTTCGAAAATATTCATAAACAAACAATAAAATAGGTTCTTATATAAATAAAGTAGAATTTACATAAGCCTGAAGTCTGCCTATCCTGGTAATTCCAAAACATAATGGATTGCAGAATTACAAGTCAGAATATCCTTGCTTTCCTTTCTAAACTGATTTATCCTTTTGACCATGTACTTGAAAATATCTACTATATTTAAAGGAAGTTTAAATAGATGTAAAAGATTATTCGTGATTCAATACCCCTCCTCTTCTATATAGTTCTTAATATACTTCATTTTAAAATACTTTACCTTTAAAGGCAACATTTTCAGGAAGAAGAGAATCTATATATCACAAAATATATTTATAAATATTTCAGATATTCAGAAGCATATTTATGCTTCATTTTGCAGTTTGCAGACAGTATATTATCCACATTTTGTAGTATTTATTTAAAATCAATGTAACTATTCATATAAAACTGACAAGGAAAAGAGCTCAAACAAAGTCAACATCATGCTGTTAAATACTTCCTGTAAATAATTAACAGCAATACAGTGACAAGTACTGTACTTCTGTGATAATAATAGACTGGCATCTTGCTCTGTTTAACATCAGGAACACTGATGTCATAATTGTTTGATTATATGCTATTAAGTCAGTGTTGGCTCTTAGTGACTACAGAGATAAACCTCCTCTAAGATGATCTCTCCCCAACCTGTCTCATCAATGCATTTTAATCTGAATTTCTGACTTCGATGTCTTCATAAATGTTGTTGTTAGATCAGGCGCAGGGAAGAAGACGTGACCAATGTTGGTCCATTCACTACTTTATTTAGTACAGGAAAAGACTGGCAGCTGCGCTGCTGGAGCTCTCCTTTTAAGCGCTCTGGCAAGTTGCGCCGCCCAGAGACAGCATTTTAAATTTCCCGCCTGTGGATTAGCCAATCCCCGGCGGATGTCCTTATAAGGACATAACACCCCTCCACTCCTAGTTTGTAGTCTGTCCATCACAGTCAATGAATGTTACGTAGTCGCGCAGGTACGCGGGACATCTGATGGTTCTGGTTGACCTGCGCAGTCCCATTTGAGCTCCGCCGCCTATCAGAGCAGGCGAAACTCCTGTTTCTTCCGGTTCCCGCCTTGGAACCAACCGGGGTTTGGCCGTCGAGCGTGCAGGGTCTGTCCCAGCACCTCCAGCGGAGTCTCGAACTTCATCTTGCTGGTGACGCCGGTCTTCTCCCTGTCCTGGATGTCAGGTGCCTTGCGGCTGACCATCGCCGCTGATCGGTGGGGAACGGCTGATACCCTGGTCTTTCCTCTCTGTTGGTTGCTTGTGAGGTGGTGGGGTCTGGTTGGGTACCCGGTTCCCATTGCTGTTGTTGTTGTTGTGTTTGTTGTTGTTGCTTCTCTGGTGGTTGTGGTTGTTGTTGGTGGTGTTGGCCAACTCTGCCGGGGGGTCATCCATCCCCCTTGCCGGGCTAGTGCAGGCCCCCCTCGCCGGGGTGGTGGAGACCTAACTCACCAGGGTGGTGGAGGCCTTCCTTGCCAGGGTGATGGTGACTGCCCTCACCAAGATGTTGCTGGTCTGCCTCAATGGGGTGGCAGAGGTCTCCCTCGCCGGGGTGGTGCAGGTCAACCTTGCCGGAGCGTTGCAGGCCTCCCTTCTCCGGATGTCCCCGGTCTACTGCCGTGTGGTGGTGGAGGTCTCCCTCGCTGGGGTGGTGTAGGCCAGTCTCGCCAGGGGGTTGCAAGTCTCCCTTCTGCGGATGTCCCCGGTCTACTCCCTTACAGCGGAGAAGGTCTTTCTTACCAGGAGGACGCATGCCAGTCTCTCTGGGGTATTGTGGTTCTTCCCCCTCAAGATGTCGCCAGTCTACCCCCATGGAACGCCAACAGCCTGCTTCGCCGGGGTGGTATAGGCCTATCTCGTCGGGGTGCTGCAGGCCTACCTCGTTGGGTTGGTTTTGTCCTACTTCCCTCCACCTTTTCTGGAGCTGGTCGATGTGACATCTACAGACCTGTTCGTCTTCCAGTTCCACTCTGTAGGACTTCGGGCCGGTTATGCTCGCGATCTTCCCCTTCAGCCATTTTGGAGACCGGTGGAGATTGAGTGCAAATACCGGATCTCCTATGGTGAAGGCACGCAGCGGGCGGCTGGCGTTTAGTGGCACCTCTCGGTTGTATTGGGGGTGCAGTCGATCCAGAGGTGACCTCAGTCTTCTGCCCATTAACAGTTCCGCTGGGCTCTTGTGAGTGGTGGCGTGTGGTGTGATGTGCTGGGTGAGGAGAAATTTGTCAATTCTCTCTTGCCATTCGCCCGTGCCCATCTTGGTGAGTGCCTCCTTGGTGAGCCTCACCATTCTCTCCGCTTGCCCGTTTCCAGCCGGCCTGTAAGGTGCTATCAGGGCATGACGGATGCCCAATTCTGCCAGGAACGTTTCCATGGGCTTAGATGTGAGTTGAGGTCCATTGTCGGAGACTAGCACATCCAGTAGCCCGTGGGTTGCGAATAGCCTCCAGAGTGCCCTGACTGTTGCCTCTGTCGTGGTGGATGCCATGGGAGTTACCTCCAGCCACTTCGAGAAGGCATCCACAACTATTAGGAGGTATTTCCCTTGCATCGGACCCGCAAAGTCAATGTGAACTCTTGACCATGGGTTGCTGGGCGCCTCCCACTCTGACGGCTGGGCATGGGGAGGTGCGGGTCGTACCTCCTGGCATGGGTCACATCTGGAGACCCACTCCTCGATGTCCTTGTCCAGGTTGGCCACCAGACATAACTTCTTGCCAACCCCTTCATCGTCACTATGCCTGGGTGCCCGCTGTGGAGGGTTTCCAGTGTCTTCCATTGCAGGGCGCTGGGTATCACCACTCTGTCACCCCAGAGAAGGCAGCGCTTCATGGTGGATGGCTCTTGCTGCTTCCTGTTGAATGGGCTGAACCCTTCTGCCGTCTTCCCCATGGGCCAGTCCCGGAGGACCCATGATTTTACTTGTTTGAGGGTCTTATCTTTCTGTGTATGGGCTGCCATGTCTGCAGAGGTTACCGGGCAAGCTTGATCATCGTCTATGTGGAAGAGCCCG